TGTCGTGTCAGGGCAACCAGTCAATTATATTACATTTCTAACAGAACAAAGCAAACAAACCGACAAAATACATAATTTGTGAGTTTGGGAGTTGATTAAATGTCCTTTGACCAGTATCTGGCCACTTGGAGTGCTTCTGTTGTTGCTGCAAGAAGATCCTCCATTGTGCATGTGGCAGGGCTCAGGTTGCACTGCAGCAGGTGGTCTGTGGTTTGCTCCTCTCCACACTCGCATGTCATGGATTCCACTTTGTAGCCCCATTTCTTGAGGTTGACTCTGCATCTCGTGGTGCCAGAGCGCAGTCTGTTGAACGCCTTCCAAGTCGCCCAGTCCTCTGTGTGCCCAGGGGGAGTCTCTCATTTGGTATCAGCCATTGGTTGAGGTTCTGGGTTTGAGCCTGCCACTTTTGGACTCTCGCTTGCTGAGGTGTTCCGGCGAGTATCTCTGTAGATCTTAGAAAACTATTTCTAGATTTAAGTCGTTGACGTGCTGGCTGATACCCAAACAAGGGATGAGCTGGAGATGTCTCTGCCTTGGTCCTTTCACTATTGGCTGCTACTTCCCGGCAGATGTCAGGTGGTGCAATACCAGCTAAGCAGTGTAATTTCTCCAGTGGTGTAGGGCACAGACATGTGATAATGCGGCATTTCTCATTAAGAGCCACATCCACCATTTTAGTGTGGTGAGATGTGTTCCACACTGGGTATGCGTACTCAGCAGCAGAGTAGCATAGCGCAAGGGCAGATGTCTTCACTGTGTCTGGTTGTGATCCCCAGGTTGTGCCAGTCAGCTTTTGTATGATATTGTTTCTAGCACCCACTTTTTGCTAGATGTTCAGGCAGTGCTTCTTGTAGGTAAGAGCACGGTCCAAAGTGACTCCCAGGTATTTGAGTGTGCTGCAATGCTCCAGTGGGATTCCTTCCCAGGTAATCCTCAGAGCTCAGGATGCTTGTCTGTTCTTAAGGTGAAAGGCACATGTCTGTGTTTTAGATGGATTAGGGATCAGCTGGTTTTCCCTGTAATAGGCAGTAAGAGCACCTAGAGCTTCTGAGAGCTTCTGTTCAACCATCTCAAAGCTCCCTGCTTGAGCGGTGATGGCACAATCATCAGCATAGATGGAGCTCTCTGTTCCTTCTGGCAGTGGCTGGTCATTTGTGTAGATGTTGAACATGGATGGAGCAAGCACGCTCCCCTGAGGCAGGCCATTCTTCTGTTTCCGCCATCTGCTTCTCTGGCCCTGGAACTCAACAAAAAAGCTCCTGTTTTGTAGCAGGTTTCCTATGAGGCGGGTGAGGTGGTCGTCCTTTGTGATATTATACATTTTTCTCAGGAGGAGGCGGTGGTTCACAGTATCATAGGCTGCTGACAGGTCTGAAGTCCTGTGTCTGAAGCCCCTCCCACACCAAAGAGTACAGTCAAACTGGCAAACCAAAATATACATTATACACATTTACAAATAGTGGAGGCTTGGAAGGTTGCTATCTCCAATAAAAAGCGTCCAGGATAGTCATAGAGAAGACAAGATCAAAGACATGTCTGGAGTGAGGGAAGAGCTTCCATAGGAGAGCAAGTCTCAAGCCACACCAAAAAAAACCAAATAGAATCCTAGAGTTGGAAGAGAACTCATGGGCCATCCAGTCCAAGAAGCAGGAATATTGCATTCAAAGCACCCTCAACAGATGGCCATCCCGCCCCTGTTTAAAAGCCTCCAAAGAAGGAGCCTCCACCACACTCTGGGGCAGAGAGTTCCACTGCTGAACAGCTCTCACAGTCAGGAAGTTCTTCCTCATGTTCAGGTGGAATCTCCTTTCCTATAGTTTGAAGCCACTGTTCTGTGTTTGAACTGCACATCAATCCTCAAAGATTACGGGAATGTTCATACAAGGAGAAATTATACACCTTCCTGTCTTTTGGAAAGAGTTGAGTTGCACATGATGTAGTAAAAAAAAAACATATGGGAAAGAAGCCATGGAAATGCCTGGAGTGTGGTCAAGCCTTCACTCAAGAGAAAAATCCCCTTGAGCATGGGATGAATCTCAGAGGAGAGAAGCGTCTACATGCTCTGAGGGTGGGAAGAGTTGTGTCCTCAAAGCAGGTCTCAAATCCCTCCAAGAGAGAAATCATACACGTCAAGAAAGTGGGAAGAGTTCAGTCCTCAATAGGCACCAGAATACTCCCACAACGAAGGAAACACATGTGGACAGAAAACCGCTCTAGCCTTTGTATTGATTCCCTCTTGTTTAGAATAACAGTTGATGCAAGTCATCTTGGACCTTTTCTTGGCATGCTTTAAGGTTCAGCCCAGTCCTGGCCTTGTGGTCCTGTTGCTGCTTGACTGGTGGAGATGACATATCCACACTGGTTTCCTTTTCCCCCCAGCTCTTTTGTGCTTGTTTTAGAACGTTCACTGAAATGTGCTCTGTTTTTTGGCTTATTTTGCAAATGTTCAGAGAGAAATAAAGGCATCTTATGGCCTTGTGGTGTAATGTTTTGAGCCTTGTGTTGTCCCTCTGTAAGGCAGAGCTTGCAGCCCCACTTGGCCTTGGAAACCCACTGGTGTGCCTGGAGCAAGTGACATCCTCTCAGCCTCAGAGAAAGGCAGAGGTGAAGTCCCTCAGGATCCAAATACTAACCCGGGCTGACTCTGTTTAGCTTCCAAAATCAGGCAAAATCTGGTGCCTCCTCCTCCTCCTTATTATTATTTAAAAGACAACAAGATGTGTACACAGCAAACAAGGTTACTCTCCTGGCTGTTGTATTGAATCACACGTTGGACACTTCCCAAGTGTCTAAAACTGTGTGATGTATCAGCGAATAATGTGTTGTTGTTGTTGTTATGTTACATTTATACTCCGCCCTTCTCACCACAATGGGGGAGTCAGGGCAGCTTACAGACAATGGCATACAATGTCATATTACACATATAATAATAAACATGACATATCGATGTAAACAAATAACATATCAATTTAAACATATAGTAATAAACATGACATATCAATTGAGGCATATTATTCTATCTATCTATCTATCTATCTATCTATATATATCTCCCACCATGATGGGTCAGTCCCCTCAATTCCCTCCAGTAGATTTAGTTGGTCATGGGGGTTCCGTGTGCCAAGTGTGGTCCCAATCCATTGTCAGTTGGGATCACAGTTTCTCTGGGTGTAGGTGGACTACAACTCCCAGAAATCAAGGTAAGTTCTCTCCAAGTCCCTCCAATAGGTTCAGTTGGTCATGGGGGCTCTGCATGCCAAGTGTGGTTCTGGTCCATTGTCAGTTGGGGTCACAGTTTCTCTGGATGTAGGTGGACTCAGGGGAGATGCATAAGGGAACTACAACTCCCAAATGTCAAGATCTATTTCTCCCAAACTTCATCTGTGTTCATATTTGGGCATTTGCAATATTCGTGCCAAGTTTGGCCCAGATCCATTATTGTTTGAGTCCGCAGTGCTCTCTGGATGTAGGTGAACTACAACTCCCAAACTCAAGGTCAATGCTCACCAAACCCTTCTAGTGTTTTCTGTTGGGTCATGGGAGTCCTGTGTGCCATGTTTGGTTCAATTCCATCATTGGTGGAGTTCAGAATGCTCTTTGATTGTAGGTGAATGATAAATCCCAGCAACTACAACTCCCAAATGACAAAATCATAATTTTTTGAGTGATGGTCACTCCTTGAGTTAGTAGGTATCTTGTATCCAAATTTGGCAGCAATTTATCCAGTGGTTTTTGAGTTATGTTAATCCCACAAGCAAACATTACATTTTTATTTATATAGATTCTGCCGATGTCATCCCAAATTGTAAATGAATGATAGACGCCTTCTATCCTGGCTCCATCTCATTTTCCTGGCCAGGTGTCCATCTTCTTGACTGGTGTTGACAGACACAAGGCTTGTGTTGACTTCCTTCTTAACATCAGGAATTCTGCAAACTTTTCCTTAACTTGAAATAATCATTGACACCATTCTTATCAGTGTTTACTTTTCAGTTAGCAACTTTTAATTATAGTCCAGCAAGCAGGTAGTGAGTCATTGCAGGTGTGGGTCTTTTACTGATGTTTAGCTCCATACATCCTTCCATTTCAGGCAAAAATTGGTATGATAAGAAACAAAGATGGCAGGGACCTAACAGAAGCTGAAGAGATCAAG